AGGGCACTCCAGCCTGGAGGAAGGGGGATGACTGTGCAGCACCCCAGTTCCCCGTCCGCAGAGTGGGGACCAACAGAGCCTCGTCTTTCGGGGTTTGCTCCAGTGGGGGTTTAACCCAATGAGCACCGTGCCCGGAGAGCCGGGGCAGCTGTGGGCACGGCTGGGGCGGTGGCCCTGGGTGGGCCGGTTCTTTAAGGAGGGCGGCCGGGAGCACGGTCTGTGGTGGGCCGGCAGCCAAGATGTTTACAGCATTCTCGTGGGTTTCGATCCTACTCAATGACATGCACCTGAACTCTATCAAGCCCACATCACTCAGGCACGTGGGGCCACGTGTTCGGACCACAGGTTCAAGCTCACAACCACAGCTGTTGGCTATAATTGTGCTGGGAGGGCTCTGCCCTCCAAGCTGGGACTTGCACGCGGCCATGAGAGGACTGTGTCCTCTCATTAGTCCGAGGCGTGAACCTGTCCAAACACCGTAGCCGCTCTCCACAACGGTCTCACACTGGTCCTCTCTTGGTGCGGGTCCTTAGCCCAAAGTTAGGCAGCAGGTGCCCAGCAGCGGCAGAGCCTGCCTGGCCCAGCTCAGTCCAGAGGTGTGGCCCCTGGGTCCCAGCCACCCCAACGGATACCCCGGGACACTCAGAAATGACTGTTTCTCCAGAAGCCCCGGCCCTGTCAGTTTGTCCCAGAGTACCGCTCCCTCTGGCGGCTCTGCTCCTGCGTCTCCCATGGCCCTGCATCTGGCTCTCCAGTCCTTCAGTCCGTGCCCGCAGCACCCTCTGTCCCTGGTCCCAGGATGCTCAGCTCAGGCCCAACAGGGACTGCTGGGCTGCCCGGAGAGGGAGGCAGCGAGGGCACGGTCTCCCCTCGGTTGGTCGGGTGAGGAGCCCGGGAGCAGCCCTGTCCCTCCATGGCTCCCGTGCCCCAGCCTCCCCCATCCGGCAGCCCTCATCTTTGAAAGCCAGCAGAGGGACCACGGCCCTGGCAGGCAGCTCGCTGCTGGGACGATGGCAAGAGGCTCCATGTTGGGCCTCCTCAGTCTCGCTGATGCTGGCGAGGAGCTCGGGACCAGGCTGGAGCTCGGGTGGGGGAGCTGAGAAAAGCTGCTGAGTCCGGGGCTCAGCATGGGCAGGCAGAGGGGGCACGAGAGGCTCCGGTGCCAGGGCGTCCTGCCCTCTCCTCTCCGCTGGCTTTCATGTTGGTTAGGCCGCCTGCACACGGCGGTCGGCCTCGGCCTGGGCACCGGGGACGCGGAATGCACCAGGGAAGGCGGGGACTCCACGCAGCAGTGGCCACGGTCACAGAGTGCCATCCGCTCTGCCGCCAGCACCCTGCTGCCTGGACCATGGAGTCAGCCCAGCCCTGGCCTCCGTGGCAGTGCCCGCTTCCGCCAGGCCTGTCCTGCTGACATGTTCCTCTGAGCTGGGTACCCCCCTTCGAAGAGGGAGAGGCATCCTTTGAGCAGCCCGCTCACCCTGCCCACATGGGCTCCTGCCTTGGTGAAGCCGCCCCCCTCCCCTGCCCCCCTGCACTGGGTCTGGGCTCCTGGTGTCCCCTCGCATGCATGGCTGGAGGTCGCTTCTCCCCGGGCACGAAGCCCCCTGTGCTTCTGGCAGCACTGGCTGCCCCCACCTCTGCTGGCTCCCAGGTGGGGATGCCCCCCCGGGAGGGGA